CAGTGATAGCGCTGCTCGGATTGGCTCTTTGTAATGTGCTCTCCCATTGGCTCCCGGAGGAAGGTTCTGATTGGGTCGCCCTGTTGCTGATCCCGGAAGTTCGCCCAGGACAGGAAGTTCACTTCTAATTCGTGGACCGCTCCGGCTTCCTCCTCCCTGTTGGCTGTTTTGTTTTCTTGAAGGCTCATCGTTTCTGGCTTTTCTTTTACCTAGTTCCTTCGTTTTTGTTAACGGGGTGGGTTAAAGAATTTTAGAACTAGGGACGTTTCTAAAGGTCAGTCCGGTTTAGGATCCCGAGATTTTGTCGGGGGATGGGGCAAAGGCAAGTGAAAATGCCATGAAATTGCCCATCGTTTTAAAGGTAGCTTTTTCTTCATTGAGCATTCATATGGTTGTTGTAAACCTTTCACTGTTTCCTAGAAATCCTATAAAGTTAGTCCAGCCAGTTTCTTTAACTCCCCTTCCATCCCCCCATTTTTGTTTTTATCTTTTCCTCTTTTTAAAAGAACAGATACATGTTGGTAAATGCTAACTGCCCATATTCTCACGGAGACAGTGTAATCTGAGCCCCATATGCAGAGAAAGGAGGGGGCCCACTGGGGGTGCCCGCAACCAAGGCACATGCCCTTGACCAGAATCGAACCTGGGACCCTTTAGTCCGCAGGCCGTCGCTCCATCCACTGAGCCAAACAGGCTAGGGCCCCCCATTTTTGTTTTTATCTTTTCCTCTTTTTAAAAGAAAGTAGACAGATACATGTTGGTTAATGCTAACTGCCCATATTCTCATGGAGACAGTGTAATCTGAGCCCCATATGCAGAGAAAGGAGGGGGAAGAGCTAGAATTCTATGCACTGGGCGGGGCCTAGCACCCTCCAGCTTCCAGCAAAGCTAATGAAACAGGTTTTTCTTTTTTCCCACAGAACACGATGATGTTGGTTCCATAAAGTTTTTGTTGAGACAGGAAAAGATAAAAATATATTTGGAACAGAAAGGGGTGGAGATTCTTTAACCACTGTATTGTATTCAAGGTAATTCCCCTCCAAATAAAGTGAGAACCATGGTATAAAGGAGAGAGAAGAGACCTTAAAAACTAGGCAACTGATGTTGAGACAAGATAAAAATATATTTGGAACAGAAAGGGGTGGAGATTCTTTTCCCACTGTATTGTGTTCAAGGTAATTCCCCTCCAAATAAGGTGAGAACCGTGGTATTAAGGAGAGAGAAGAGACCTTAAAAACTAGGCAACTGAGCACAAGAGGGGAAAAAAAAAGAGAGATTGATACCAAAACTTGCTCCCAGGGATTGGATAAAATTTAAAAAGATTGGAATCCATCAGTGTTCTATTAGTCATCTCCTTCATTGTCCTCTCCTTTCTCCCCCTCATCATCATCTTCATCCTCCTCCCCTTCATCCATATCTGCCAACCCTTCCTCTTCATGATCATCTCTCCCCCCGCCTTTTTTTTTGTTTGTTAATCCTCACCTGAGGATTTTTTTTCCCATTGATTTTTAGAGAGAGTGGAACACTCAGCACACTAGAAACAGAAGAGCAGTTTTTCATCTGGTAATGGAATTACTTGGTAGGCAGAATAATGGCCCCCAAGATGTCTACACTGTAAAACCCATATCCTGTGAATATGTTATGTTAATGGCAATAAAAGAATTAAGATTGCAGATGGAATCTTTGCTACCACAGGTTAACAAAGGTCTTAAATATGATACAAAAAGTACAAATCATAGGTGAAATAAATGAGTTGAACTTCATAAAATTTAAAAACTGTTGAAGACATTAAGTCAATGAAAAGACAACTCTAGCCGGTTTGGCTCAGTGGATAGAGCGTCAGCCTGTGGACTGAAGAGTTCCCAGTTTCCATTCTGGCCAAGGGCACAAGCCAGGGTTGCAGGCTCAATCCCCAGTGGGGGGCATGCAAGAGGCAGCCGATCAATGATTCTTTCTCATCATTAATGTTTCTATCTCTCCCTCTCCCTTCCTCTCTAAAATCAATAAAGAAATATATTTGAAAAAAAAGAAAAGACAAACCACAAACTGAGAGAACATTCACAATCCATCTGTCTGACAAACAATTGGTCCCTAAAATACTTAAAAGAAGTAGATTTTTAATAGATATTTCACAAAAGAAGATACTCATTTGACCAATCAGCACCTTATGGTGTCCAACATCATTAGTCACATGGAAATGGAAATTATAACCACAATGAGATACCACTACAGACTCCTTAGAATAACTACATTTTAAAAACTGATAAATTTACTGTATTAATGAAAGGAAAAGTAGGTGCAGGTGTACATGAGAACTCTGTATTATGACAATTTTTAAAAATCGGAAACTGTTCTACGAAAGTTTATTTAAAAAACTGATAATATCAAGCTATTATCAAGGATGTGGACCACCTAGAACTCTAATACACAAAGACAACAATTTCATAGTTTATAAAGTTAAACATTTACTTACCATGTGTCCCATCAATTCTGATTGCAAGTATTTACCTAATGAAAACCTATGTCTACAAAAAGAAATGTTTATAGCAGCTTTATTCATAGCAGCTAAAAACTAGAAACAACCCTAGTTGGTTTGGCTCAGTGGATAGAGCATCAACCTGTGGACAGAAAGGTCCCAGGTTCGATTCTGGTCAAGGGCATGTCCCTGGTTGCAGGCTCTTCCCCAGCCTGGGCCCTGGTCAGGGCGTATGCAGGAGGCAACCAATCACTGTGTTTCTCTCACATGGATATTTCTCTCTGCCTTTCCTTCTCCCACTCTCTCTAAAAACCAATGGAGGAAAAATATCAGGTGAGGATTAAAATAAATAGATAAATAGATAGATAGATAGATAGATAGATAGATAAAAACAACCCAAACATAAATTATTATTATAAAAATAAATTGTGATGCATATATATAGTGATATATGTGATACATATGATTGGAATAGTACTCAACAATAAAAAGAAATGAATTAATGACATATACAAGAGTATGGATGAATATCAAAACCTTATGCTAAGTTATGATAAAAACAGACACAAAGAATATATACTCTCTGATTCCATTCATAAGAAATTCTAAACAAGAGAGATTATAAACTACTGTGACAAAAAGCAGATTAGTGGTTGTCTCCGACCACAGCTGGTGGGCAGGGAAACTGCCTGCAAATAGGTTTGAAGGAATGTTTTAGGGCCATGGAAGCCTTCTGTATTATGTTTGAGGTAGTCTTTATCAAAACTCATTCAACTTTAAATAGGTGTGTTTTCATGTGTATAAACTATCATTCAATAAGATTAATTTACTATATGTAATACCTTAATCAATGAAGAAAAAAATAACATAAAAAAATAAAATTGAGCCCTGACCGGTTTGGCTCAGTGGATAGAGCGTCGGCCTGCGGACTCAAGGGTCCCGGGTTCGATTCCAGTCAAGGGCATGTGCCTTGGTTGCGGGCACATACCCAGTGGGGAGTGTATAGGAGGCAGCTGATCGATGTTTCTAACTCTCTGTCCCTCTCCCTTCCTCTCTGTAAGGAAAATCAATAAAAGATATTTTTAAAAAATAAAAATAAATAAAATTGATTTATAAGAGAAGAGACAAAAAACTTTAACAGGCAGTTTGTATAATAAAAATTCAGAATTGCCAGGCACTTGTAATTACATTTAGGGCTCACCCAGATGATGCAGAATTGTGTCCCCATTTCAAGATCCTTCATTTAACCACACCAACAAAGACACATTTACAAGTTCTAGGGATTAAGACCTGATATATTTGGGTGGCCCAAATACAACCACATTTCCACATTTTCCCCTTTTATCCTGTATTACATCATTTGTTATTACAAAAGTGATAGGTGATTTGAAAAGGAAATTAGAATATACAGATAAGCAAAAGAAGAAAACGAAATTGCCATAATCCTGCCTCTAGAGATAAGCATTGTTAATATTTTGGTAACTATCATTTTAATATATATATATTAGAGGCCCAGTGCACAAAATTCATGCACTTGTGGGGGGTCCCTCAGCCCAGCCTGTGCCCACTTGCAGTCCAGGAGCCCTCAGGGAATGTTTGATTGACGGCTTAGGCCTGCTCCCTGCGGGGAGCCAGCAGTCGGATATCCTTAGTGCTGCCATGGAAGCGGGGGAGGCTCCTGCCACCGCAGCTGTGCTCGCCGGCCTTGAGCCCAGCTTTTGGCTGAGTGGTGCTCCCCCTGTGGGAGCGCAATGACCACGAGGGGGCAGCTCCTGCGTTGAGCGTCTGCCCCCTGGTGGTCAGTGCGCACCATAGCGATGGTCGACTTGCATATTAACCTTTTATTATATAGGATATATGATTGATTTCAGAGAGGAAGGGAGAGGGAGAGAGAGATAGAAACATCAATGATGAGAGAGAATCATTGATAGGCTGCCTCCTGCATGCCCCATACTGGGGACTGAGCACAAAACCCGGGCATATGCCCCTACCGGAATCAAACAATGATCTCCTGGTTCATAGGCCGACGCTCAACTACTGAGCCACACCGGCTGAGCTTGATAACTATCTTTACAATTTTTTTCTCTGTGACTATACACTTACATATAGGTCCCACTAAAGTTTTAAAAATCCAGCTCATAACACAGCCCTTGATTCCACTTCACAGAAGTGCACCTCCAAGTTGGGAAACACCGCTGTTATTCCCATAGAAACCCTAAAATGCAGAAATTTACTTGGGGGGGGGAAACTTAGATATTCCTCTGTGTCACATAGTTTAATGTCAGAATGCCTTTTTTGAAATAAGAAGTTAAGTAACATAAAAAAGCTTGTGGTCATTTGTGCAATGATAGAGGAAAGAATATGCAAGAATGTCAGTCTCAAGAGAAGTGCCAGGAGATTTCATTTCCAGAGCTGAAGGTGAACTGGCTTTCCGGAATTTGTGACCACAGGCTTCAAATGTGTGTGTGTGCTAGTGGGAGGCTGTGACTCTTGTATTCGGGAAATGCCCTGTGCATCACCAGTGGAGCCGACTGACAGTGGTGATGCATTTGCTCTGTGCTAACCTTGCCCAGGACCCTGGTGACAGAGAGTATGCATTTGCTAGAAGTCTGCCGGGATCCAAGATACACATGGTAAGCATGACTTTTGACTGCAGTAACAATATGCTTTAACCAACCAAACCAGCTCATTCTCTCTCCCTCTCTCTCTCTCTCCCATAAAAAATTAATGCAAATTAAATATTCAAAACACTTTGTTTCATTTTAAGCTATAGAGTAAAGAAGCCAACAGCAATAGGATTCACATATCATGAACAAATAGGAAACAAATGAATAATTCCTTTCCTAATGTACATTTCTAGCTTTTGCATCTTTAAGTCTCAAGTTTTACTTCTTTGGCTACTTCTACTTACACTCATCTTCCCCTTTTGAACAGTAGTTCTTGTTTCCAAACCATTCACACTATGCTTTGGCAAGAAAAGAAAAAAAGAGAACTCGTCAGTGTTTGCCTTTACAATCCCCAGCCACAGAACACAGAGACCTCAGATCTACAAGACACCAGACCTCACACTGTGAAACAGAAAGCAAATAAAAAGAATCTTTATTTTAAAAAGCATTTGATCCACCAAGAACAGGGCAACTGGATTGTTCAGCCAGGTACTGTGTGGAGAGATAATGGGGTTTTAAATGGGTTTTGGAACCAAATATTACAATTTGGGTTTACAGTTATTTAAAGCTTGTGCCTGGGGGTATAAAAGCCTTAACACTAAAGACTGTGGTTTTGCATGACTGGATTTGACTGGATTTGCCCGCAGTGAAACTTGTAGGGCTGGATAGTCTGTTAGTCTGGCCTGGTGGGGTTTCATTAGGCTCCTTGGGATTGATGTGTAAATATAGAATTAAATCAGAAGGGAGACAAAGTGAGGGAAAGCGCTCTGAAAATACTTTTTGGGCTATACT